TGGGGAACCTGGCCGGCAATCCAGGCCTGTTCCCTAACCAGGAATCCAACCAGCGACCCACTCTTTGGTTCACAGGCCAGTGCTCAACCCACTGGCCAGGGCTCGATCTCATAATTTAAAAAGCAAATCCATCATTGCCCTTATTAGGCCATCTCCCTTTCCCTTTGGCCTTCAGCCCGATTTCTAGCTCGACCACTCACCCACCCTACAGCTGCCGGCTCGCAGTCCTCTACCCACGCCCCCCACATCCAGTCGGTCCTGCTGGCCACTCCCACTGCCCTACCCAGCAGGTCCCCGAGCACACAGGCACCTGCACCGGCTCATAACCGCTCTCCCCGCCTCCAGTCTGCCTTCCTGTAAACGCATCGCCCACGCCGCTGCCAGTGACCCACCTAACCTTAGATGTACCTCCTCCTCCACCTGGCCTCGGCACAAATTCTAAGGTCTTTAATATGGACCACTTGACCTTCATCATCTGGCCCCTATGTAGCTCTCACAGCTGGTTGCCTTACACGCTGCAACACAAACATGTTCCTTGGACTCTGCTTTGAACACTGACCCCTCTTCCCCGGTCTACGCCCCTGCCCTGGCCTTCTGACAGGCACCGTCAGTTCACCTGGCTCGCTTTGGCTTCAGACATCTCCAGGAAGCCCACTGTGAATCTACTGCCATGATCTCAACTGTGTGCTAACTAGGACTGTCTCCTCCTCTAGATTGCAATTTTCTTGAGAGCAGAGTTTGTATCTTACTCTTAAATCCCCCAATTTCTTTTGGCAGCCACATATTTTAGTAAATAAATGAATCAATTATAGCTCGAATCTAGTAGATTCTACCTTAGCAATATCTTTTGCATCCATTTCCCCTGTGCTATTCTACAGTAAGTCTATACATACAACTGAAGGAATATGACCAAAAATACAGTTCCTGACTACCTTTTATCACAGCTATCCCAATAGTCTCCTAATGTGTCTCCCTCTAGTCCAGGGATAGCAAATATGGGACAAAATCACTACCATTCTCTATTTCTCTACCCATGGTAAAAACCACCGATCACAGCGCTGCGTCCATTCTCAGCCTCAGAATCCTCCTCAACACAGCTCTCCAGGCACATAATGCAAATCAATTAGCACTGGCTAATACTGCTGCCAGATTTTCCAGGAATGTAATTATGGTTAGATGTCTTTTCTGCTCCAAACCTCTTAGCTCCTCAACTTCCCGAGTAAGCACAGGCTTCACAATGGAGGATTTTAATGTTTAAGGTTCTCTCCAACATTATTCCATCCTTATCTACCACCACTTCTCTAATTGGACTACTGGGGTTTTCCTCACATAAACCCTGGCCTTATCTCCATGTCTTTGTTCATATCGTAACTTCCACTACAAATTTTGCTGCCTCCACCTGTCTGCCCAAATTCTTATCTTTCCAGCTCAATTCAAACATCACTTCCTTTAAGTCCATGGGTCTCAAAGTGTGCTCCCTGGCCAGCAACATCAGTATCACCAGGGATGTTAGAAACACACATTCTGAGGCCCCCACCCTGGACCTGCTGACTCAGAAACTGGGGAGGGCCCTGCAGGCGATTCTGATGCGGGTTCAAGCTTGAGAACTGCTGCTCCCAGATGCATTTTACGCTCCTCCCAACCCACCCCGCTCTCCTTCCCACAACAATTAGGGCTGGTCAGGGCACTCTTCCCATTCTGCCCACCACCTGCCATTCATGCCCTCATCTCCCCTCCTCCCACCCGAGCTGGACAATGAGCTCCTAGAGACTCCACATTCTTGCCAGGTGCGCAGCCTCTGCCACAACTGGCACTGTCCGGCACCAAGAAATTTCCCAGTCAGCGTTGACTGGACCCTGGATCCTTGCTTCAGCACGTTAAAGAAACAGGTTAGTTGCTTTTTCTCACCTTTAAAGGCTTCTAACTTCACCATTTCTGACTTCCTGAGAATTTCCTGGGGCAGCAGGACTGATGCAGACCAAGTCATTGGCCTCAAATGAAGAGGCTCTTTTTCTCTCCTAAATTATGCTGCTGTTTTCATACAGTTCCTATCCCAGGCCTCACTTAGGCCATGTTTTTGTAGCACTAAAGCCACCTGGTTGATAAGAGAAAGGGCAGAAACAATGACTGTTCATTTTCTTTATAGGAGAGAACCAGGGAGGCTGGTCATGAACTCCTCTCAGATTTTTGCGCCTCCCAAATTTGTAGTTATGGGAAGAGGGTATTTGAGTTGATCAACATATACACACAAATATTAAGGAGGTCTAGAGAATCAAGTTTTGTTCTTGCCAAAGCTGTGTGCCGAAGATGCAGTAATAGCCATTAAGGCCAGGTTTTAAATTAATACTTTTCCAACCGGAAACAAAGTGGAAGTTTAAGGGCTGGAATGTGGCTCAGTGGGGTTTCAACAAAAGGCCCACACTGTTGCTATTACCACTATTCTTCATTCTGCAAATCAGAAACACCTCAGAATACAGCAAGACACTTCCTCTACTAGAACCACTGTAACACACACACTTAGTAACAGGCACATTGGAAATGCCCAAAATATAAAAGAGAACTTCTAAGACCCTTTCTACAAGACTTTATATGCCAAAGGTGCAAGCATGGATCACTAAACTAAACCTGGACTCTAAATCAAAACTAGACTGCCCAGCAGGCAGCATGCCCCTCTTATGAAACATACAAATTATGGGAAGGTTAACAGAGTATTGCTTTCAAGCCAATCCTGTACAAAGATGGGTACACTTGACAAGATTTTTTACTTTCTCCATCTACACTCCTTTAATAAAATTTAATATTTAATGACAGAATGCTGTAGCTGAATTATCTATTTTTAAATCCGGGGGGGGGGGGCAGCGGTGAAGGGCAACTCTAACTCATTACAGCATTCTCTGGAACTCTGTCTCCATCAATCAGAAAGTTCAATGAATCAGGACCTCTGACCACACTAGACACATGTTTGCTAAATTTAGCTTTGCATCAGCAAACACTCAAGCTCAGAATAGTTCATGGAGCTCTCATCTTACCCTTAGACAGTGATTCTTCTAAGATTGTTTTTCCAGGGCAGGCCAAGGCAGGGCAAGGGGCACTCCACGTGCTCTCTCTATGGTCATTGTTAAGAGACTGGCCAAGGTTAAGGGGATCCGACGTCAGCCATGGAAAACATGTTTATCCCCGCTTCTCCATAATGGGAACTTGAAGTTGGCCATATATCACATTTCATGTGTTATAAGCAGTTGCAGTAATGGCCTGACATGCTCCATGGTCCTTGAATCACATTCCATATTACTCAGCCATCTAAGTCTAGCTTCCCTAAATCTCCGGCTTCTCTGAATTAGATGTGGCCAAGTTCTATAAATAGAGAGCAAGCAAACTGGTTCTGTCAATCTTCTCATACTCTGGCAGGATAACATATTTTAAAATTACAAAAATATCTATGTCTTCATCACTCTAAAATTATTACATAACACATGATTTTCTCAGGGAAAAAAGTTTATTCTTGTCTCTCCCTACCTTCCAACACTCATGGATCTCCAAACTTTGTGATCATATTCATCAAACTATCAAATACAAATACAAACAAAATTAAGAGCCTAGCACATGTATAAAGGACCCATGGGCAAGGCCAGAGTGGGGAAGGATTGAGGGAGGGAGGTAGGGGTGGGTGACGCAGGGGAAAGCGGTGGCGAGAAAATGGAGACAAATGTATTTGAACAATTAAAAAAAATTAAGAGCATACTGTGTGCCAGACAGTGTGTTACACAAATAGAGAAACATTTTGGGGTGGGTGGCGGCGGGGAACCCAGTCTCTCATCTTAAATCCCAGACGGACAGTTCATGGGAACTTGTGACAGCACGTACAGGGTTCCTTTAGACAGACTGAAACTTTTATTGCACTATTAGCTCATTCATGATCAATCTTCTTAACCTGGGCCTTTAATAGATACCAATGGATATTTTTAGTCCACATTTCCCCTAGAAGGGGTCGATATGCCTAATCCAATGAAGGCTTCCTTCACATACATCCTCTACTGAAAAACAACAAAATCACAACAATACACATTAGCAGACTTTACAAACAAATCACATTTTAATCATCTAGCTTCGTTTAATAAGCAGAATCAAGTTCACAGCTTTTTGTAGCCTGTTTTCTCTAACCATGTGATCCTAACGTATTTTCTGAAACCTCTCATGTTTTAAGAAAAACATGTTACACCTTTCATTTTGCAATGGGGAGCCAACTTCCCTTCCATTCCTAATGAATGGCTGATGCAGTCATCTCAAAAAGACACTGATGGAATGGTGTTAAATTACAGACTCAATAATCCTTCAGAACAGGACAAAAAAAGGTCACCAAGCAAGACAGCCTCCCAAGTTCCCTGAAACGGCTCTTCCTGAACGCTCCCATCACGCAACCTCCCCTCCTGCGGCCGCCCTGGCCCGGCACCTTGAGCCTCCCCTTCCTCCTGCCATCTGTCTCACGTTCTGTGGTGCTTGGAAGATGGTGCACAAAGGAGTCTGAAACTTGTTTCTGCCAGTGAGCGCACAAGACCAGAAATAGTTCTCAGCCCATGTGCCAGCACCATCCAGCTCTGGTGCGCTCTGCCACTTACAGCCATGGCAGGGACTACCTCAGTGATGGCTTATTTGCTGTATTTCCCACTCTTCCTTTGGGAACTTTGCCTTTGGTGATTAGTTCCCCTGGGGCTGACCCACTCAGCCCAGGAAGTAACACAAGGTACTCAGGGACTCACGTCCTTTCCCATCTCACTCACTCCTTAGTGTTACTAGTTTGGCAGTGATCTCTGTCTTTCAGAGAGGAAGAGGAGGAAACTTGCCTTCTTTTGAGGGTATAAAGTGTGACAACACACCTCTAACATCTCAAAAGAACTCAAGAAAGAAGAGTTTCTTCATGATAATACTAATGCTAAAATCTCAGTATGTGATCACACAGTGTCAAAGGCCTATATCGGGATTTAAGTTTCTCTTTCTCTTACACACACACACAACCCCTCAATCCCCTCCAACAACTTTTTAAAGGGTTCTGTTCTATGCCTGCCAGAGAGGAAAACCTTTGCCTCATTTATGAAACTCTAGAAATTCACACTGGCTTCTCAATACTTTCAAGCCTGGGCTCAGACACTGTATTTTAACTGAAATGCCCAGAAGCAATGTTTTTTAGGTAGAGACTGACCTGAGGGCCACTGTCACTGGCCCCTATACTACAGTGCAAATCACATCAGCAGCTGCGTCCTCTCTTCCCACCAAGAGCACCGAAGCTCGGAGCAGCAAGCTCCTTGGAAGTAGAAAATCCAAAACACCCAGGGAAGGTGGCACAAGCTCCTCATTTGCAGAATCAAGTGTGAACACAGGGATGCTACTTAAGAGGCTGACTAAGAAAGGCTTAGTGGTTTTCTTCTCAACTTGGGAAAATCACACAGACCTCTGAGCTTCTCCTTCCACTCCCATTCCTAGAAAAAAAAAGTATATTTGAAAAATACTCAGTCCTTACTGTCATTATATTCCTCACTCCCTTACAATATACTGAGGGAGGAAAACTTCTCCTCAACTCTCTACTAAAAACTGAAACCAAGGGGATCCTATAAATGAGTTAGGTGGCCAACATGATGATGGGAAGTTCAGCAAAACATAACCGGGTAGAGAGAACGTTTTGTTAGTCAAACCCTAGCACAGATAGTTTAGTGTTCTTCGTCAGACGAAAGGCCTTCAATTTCATCTCTGTCTCCCCCAATTGCCATCCAGAAGGCTTTGGCAACCTGGGGAGAGAAACATGCAACAAATTTTAGCCAACAGCTAAATTTCAGCTCATTTCATGTCATACTTTGAACTGATTAAGATCTAAAATTCTCCGCCTTGCCCTCCAGCCCTCTAACAACACACATCAAAACTCCTGAATATCCTGACGCAGGAGTTCCACTTCTAGGAATTTAGACTCAGGACATAAAATAGTTGTATACAATGGTGACGTGTAAGGATATGCATAGCTTCACTATTTATAGAGGCAAAAAAACAGCATGCACATAACCTAATTGTCCAAAAGGAAACTGGATAAATTGTTAACACATTCATACAATAGGATACTATAAACCATGTATGTTTCCTGCCAAGAACATGCGTTGCGCTGGTAATAACAAAACAAAACAAAATACCTAAGAGCTTTCCAGCCCAACAGATAGGAAGGCAAACATCCTGAGTCTCAATGAAAAGTTCCATGTCACTCAACATACATTTGAAAAACCTTGGTTTGACTGCACCAACTAAGTTACTATTGTATAAATATTCAGTTAGTTACGTTAAAATCCAATGAAAAGTTCACACGAAGACACTTTCGAAGTAAAAATGTATAATTAATAAGTAAGTGCCATAATTTTAATAGCACTGGACCTTTTGTAGGTAAATACCTGACTGATTGTCTCACCTTTTCTGCATGCAACTTTCTTTGTTCATGAGGAAGCGTCGCAGCCTTGTCTAGGGGGAAAATATATCTTAAGAAATCGTCTAATAGCACAAGAGAATCTGGAGCGTTTGTATGTTCTAAACACTAGAAGATGGGAGATGGGTTTCAAAGACATGTTTATGGTGTAGTCATTATAGCTGTTAGGAAGTTTAAGTCTTCCAAATTCTCCAGATGGGAATGATGTGAGTAAATTGGTAGGGATCTCACTGATTCCATTTTAATGAGACACACTGAAAGAAACAGAGGCAAGAGAAGAAGGGAAAATAAGAGGAAAGAGAATAAAGGAAGAGGAACATTTTCCTCAGGGAATTTTTACCACCATAGAACGGCACAGACTCCCAGTAGCTAAGTTTCTCAAGGTAGCTGAGACCAGAGCATAGAATCTAATCAACAGAATAAAATGCTACTATATAAAACTAAGGAGTATCAATATGGGAACATGTTAGACACAATGGGTCCGATTACCTTTCATTTCCTTTAACTTTGAAAACAGTCTTTCAAAATTCTCCAAATCTCCACCGCCCGTAGTAAGACTGGCTAATTCTTGAATATCCAGATCTAACATGGGATCTGAAATAAGGATTTGTCACATTGTCACACGTTATTTATACATGTGCTAAACACACAGAATCCCCTAAGGCAGTCAAACCTGGCTTTGATGGAAGCCAAAACAAATGAGTACCGTGTACCAGCTTCACAGCTCACAGTACTTGACCCTGTTTGGATACTAGTGGGTCCTCACAAATGAACAGTTACAACATTAAAATGAGGCAAGGCATACCGTTTCCATTTTAGAGATGAGAAAACTAGAGCTCTGTGCCGAAGTGACCTGCTGAAGGTCATAGCTAATAAGTGTGACCTTGGATTTGGACTTAAGACATTTCCAACTCTATAGGCCACACTCTCCACTAATGTACACTGATTCAGCAATAAATACCTGCAATTTATACCATATTTTATTGTACATCAAATATTTCACATCTATTACTGACAGCCATATAAGGTGGTTAGGACAGATATCACTGTCCACAATTTACACATGAAGAAACCTGGGTTTAAAAATGACTCATTTAAAATTACAACCATTCAGAAGTAAACCTAATTTAAATTCCTGTTCTCTGCTACAAATCTTTTACTATTTCCACCGTAGCATGTTGTCTCATTATCAAAGTTTGTTTTTAATCAGAATTTTAACTCATCCTCCACTCCAGGCTGACCACTTCTAGGATGTCCTCCCTGGCCATCCCAGCGCACAGGTCTCCTTCCTTTGGATTCGTCCCACACTTAATGTTTACGAAACTGTCTTGGCACTGGCATGTGCTAGTTTGTATTCTGACACCTCTCCCCCATTACTGTAATAGCTACTACTACAGTAAGAGAGTTTACTTTGTGTCTGCACCACTTTACACCGTTCCATTTCATTTTTGCCACAGCGTTGTAAGGAAAGATTTGTTAACCCCTATTTTACAGAAGGGGAAACCAAGGCCCATGGAGGCTAAATAATTTATTTAAGGTCATCTCAGTACTAGTGGTAGAGCCATGATTTGGACACAGTTGTCCAAGACTCAAGCATACAACCTTAACCATTACATTAGGCCTATCTCCACATTGTTAGACTGTAAGCTCCTTGAAGTCAAAGATGGTAACTTAAAATTCTTTGCATCTACTACAATGTCATATAGATAATTTGGTGTCAAAATACATTTTGGTTAATAAATTGGCTTTAGTTCAATGGGCATGTCATGTTGGCAGTTGGCATACAGGGTTACAGATAAAAATTTGTGCCCTGGCTGGTGTGGCTCAATGGATTGAGTGCTAGCCTATGAACCAAAGGGTCACCGGTTCAATTCCCAGTCAGGGCACATGTCTGGGTTATGGGACAGGTCCTCGGTAGCGGGTGTGCAAGAAGCAACCACACATTGATGTTTCTCTCCCTCTCTTTCTCTCTCCCTTTCCCTCTGTCTAAAAATAAATAAATAAATAAATAATCTTTTAAAAAATTTGAGATTGAACTGTGTACATGATAACTGAAATGCAAACATGGATAGAATCACTTCATGCTTAAATATGGATTTGGAAGAGGAGTTTAAGTGGAGCATTGAGGAATGACAATATTTAAAGACTAGGTAAAAAAGGGTTGTAAAGAAAGGAGGAAAACATGAAGTGTTTTACCTCTGTTGGTTTGGTTTTATTTTTTTTTAAATTTTTGAAATAACTTTAGTCTTACAAACAAGTTACAAAAATAGTATATGCCCTTCACCCACCTTCTCTTAATGTTAACATTTTATATAACCACATTATAAACATCAGGAAGTTAACAATGGTGTAGTGCTATCAACTAAACTACAGACTTCATTCAAACTTCATCAGCTTTTCCACTAAAATCTTTTTCTCTGTTCCAGGATCCTACACAGCATTGTGCTGTCAAATCTCCTTAATCTTCTGCAGTTTGTGATAGTTCTTTGGTCTTTCCTCATCTTTTACTAATTAAATACTTTTGAAGAGTCCTGGTCAGTTATTTTGTGTAATGTCCCTCAATTTGGGTTTGTCTAATGTTTTCTTATTATTATATTGAGGTTATTTGCTTTTGGCAAAAACAGAATGAAAGTGAGTGCCCATTCAGTGCATATCAGGGGAAGAGGATGTCAATATGTCTTATTACTGGTAAGATAATCTTCATCACTTGAAGCTGTATCTGCCAGGTTCTTCTGGTAAAAAGTTACTAATTTCCCCTTTTAATAAATAAATATCTTTTAGACTATGCAAACATCCTGTTTCTTCTCAAATTTTCATCTACTAACTTCAATACCCATCAGTGGATCTGGCCTGCAACAACTATTACTGTGGTGTGTCACTCATGGTGACTCTCTATTGCCCTCATTCGTTCTATACTCACTAATTGGAATTATTCTGTAAGGAGAAGCAGCCCTTCCTTTCCCAGTTGTTGCTTTGTCGATTCAATTATTTATCTATATTAGTATGTTTACATGAATAGTTACTTTATTCCATGGCTATAACCCAATACTGTATTAATTTATTTTGATGGTCAAATTATTTCGTCTTTATCTCTTTCAGGTTGGTTCCTCTGCCTTTTCTGGTACCATGAGATGCTCCAGGTTTACCCTGTTTTTCTGCTCCAGCCCTGGAATCATCACTTCTCCAAGTAGCCCTAGTACCTTTTTTGGAGAACAGTGTTTAGAAACCAAGACCCAAGTGCTAAGTGTGTCCCTTGCTACTGCAGCACTGTTGCTTCTAGGCCCTCTCAGTGGACAGACCTAGGAAATATACATATGCACTAACACATGCATACACACATCTGTATTTTTCTATTGCTCTAACCACACACTTTTATAAACCATGTGTTCATACTGATACCTTCAATTTCAGTCTATTACCAAAAGGTTCATCCTAGCCTTCCTTCTCCTTATTTGCAACTTCTTTCTCTGACAGTAAGAAAACCTAGCTATTTTTACACTATATTTTCTTAATTTTTCAACCATAATATATGTAAATACATATAATTTCAGAATTTCTAACCTATATTCCTATGAAAATCAAATTTATTAAGTGAAGTACAGTATTTTTTTATCAATTCTTTTTTTTTTTAGCCTTATGATATCCAGTGAGAATCCTGTTTTCCCAAATTACTTAGGTTAGTTCTTGTCTTTACTACCTTCTTCAGCGTGGTTAATGGTTTGTTTTCATAAACGGGACTTTGGCAGCTTTAAAAGCCAGCTGAAACTAATATAATATTGTATGTCAATTATACCTCAATTTAAAAAATCCTAGAGAAAGGATTCAACTGAAATGACAAGACTGATCTTAAACTACAGAGAAAAAGATTATATATATTTTTCTTCTTACCATGTTACTATAAACAATCACTGAGTTTTCTATATGTATTGTCTTATTATCAAGGAAAAAATGCTTTTAAAAATTTATTACTGCACAGGGACCCTCCTGGCATAAAAAGAAAGTAGAGATGCCCATAGTTCCTTAACAAAACAGAACTTATAATTAAAGTTCCTCGGCTTTCTGGCTTTTGGGCAACAAACTGGATTCTAGTTTCAGTTCCAGGACCTTCTTTTTAGTACCTCTGGATGAATTACTGAACTGCTCTGGGCCTCAGTCATTTCCGTAAAATAACTTCTCTACCTATCTTCATTATCAAACAAGAAAGTGGATATAAAAAACTTTAAAAGGATGTGAAAGGGCTTACAGAGTTGTATTATTCTTGTTATCATCAATTCTGACTACTGTTGACTACTGGGTTAGCCAAAAAGTTCCATATGTTGGCTCTGGTAGCACTTAGTTGTCTTTAACTCATTCAAAACAATTTTGTTAGACTGTACCGCGGCAGCTGCCATATTAGTGTGCATTTAAAAAAACATCAAAATTGTTGAATTTTTGTGTAGCCATTTTAATACTGAATATGGAAGAAAATATGCAATGTTTTTGGCATATTATGCTTTATTATTTCAAGAAAGATAAAAAATACAACTGAATCACAAAAAATGATTTGTTCAGTGTACTGAGAAGGTGCTGTGACTGATAGAACGTGTCAAATGGTTTGCGAAGTTTTATGCTAGAGATTTCTCACTGGACGATGCTCCATGGTCAGGTAGACCAGCTGAAGTTGATAGCAATCAAACTGAGACATTAATTGAGAACAACCAACGTTCTACCACACAGGAGATAGCCCACATACTCAAAATATCCAAATTAATGAAGTTACTGGTGAAAATGAAAAATGTGTCTTTTATTTTATGGAAAAAACTAAATGGACTTTTTGGCCAACATGATCTTGAAAAAACTGTGGAATATAGATATAGAAAGCTGTTTTACCACCTGGTTCTGTCTGCTTTAGCTAAGATGATCTAAATCAAGATTCTGCTAAGAGAATCAGATAGAAAAATGATACCCACAGATCTGTGATGTATTTATTCTCCCTACTTTTTCTGACAGCCATTGCAAGGCTCCCATTCTCTTCCCTTGTCTATATATAAAGTCAATTTCCCCCTGGATGATTCATTCCCTGATACATTGACTATTTCAAGTTCCACAGAGCTGTCTCTTGGCAGCCAAAGGAGGAACTTACCCACAATGCTATCAACCTGAGCATCTGCTGTGTTAGCTGCACCACCCCGATGATCCAAGAGGGATTCAGTCCTATCTGCTGCTGGCAAACAGGGCTGCTGTTGAGGAAAATACACACAAGCAATAATTCAATAGCAGGCTACTTCAGAACTAAATCCAGAAGGCTCACACTTCCACCCACTGGCTGGCTTTAGAGAGGCAGTAGCAGGAGCTAGAGATAAGGAGATACAGAAGAAGGTTCAACATCACATAAAAAAAATAAAACAGCTAAAAATTCACTAACTCAGGAGTATTTTTTCTCAAGGAAAAATTAGAAAGGGCCATGATTTGGCTACTGACTATTAAAACGTAGTGTTTGTTTTGTTTAAGATCCATGTTTTATATGAAATGTGAAAATGAACAGGACCCTAACACAAACAGCTCAGACTGATGAAAAAGACGCCTGGAAAGACAATGTGGCACCATCTAATGTGTCCTTGGTTCCAGCATGTTGACCAAGGTAAATATGAACTAAAGTCCTTAAGGACAAAGTGCTGAGATCAGTCTAATAAGTTCCTTGAGGGCAAGGATCTTGCCTCAGATTTGTACAGAGCCTTGTACATGGCAAGTACTGAAAAAGAACCATGATTTTATTTTATATTTTAAGACCTGGAGTTAACTTTATGTCTAAAGGAAACCCTATCACTTTTTCAAAAATAATCTAGCAAGAAAACATGAAACAACCCAAATTGCAAACATCTTGAAAGGGCTCACTGATCTGATGCTAAAGCACCCTTCTCTCAATAGGTACCAGGCACAAGAGGACTGTTTTAGGTTCTCCTTTTATCTACTTTTAATATTCTCTGCCACTTCTTAAATGGAAAGAAAAAAAAGATAAATGGTGTAAAAATTCATAATTACGAGGAGAAATTAAAGCTACAGAGGAGAAAAGATCAAGGAAGAATCTTTACCTCTGAGTGACAGGTGTCTGCTGACCCAATGCTATGATTTGCTCCAGTCAATGAACTAAGAAGGTTAAAGCCTTGGTTCCTATCTGAAAAGAAAAAAATACAATCACTGAAATTTTTTAATTTACATTTTAAATTGTGAAAATGACTGTGATGTTAAAACTACAGCTATTTTCTCCTTATAAAAGTTCTAACTATAAAACATAGTTACTACCATTTACCATACTCTCTAAATCCTGAATAATTTTCAAAAATCAGAGTATTAGTCCAGGTCAAACATAATTGCAGGACCATTATAACAAATAAAAGGCCACTCAGTTCTGTGTGCAAAGATTAATGGCACTGATGTTTTAATAGTTACTATGAACTAATAATATTCTAGTGTTTTAAACTGAAGAACATGCAAGATTTTTTGAAATAAAGCTCTAATTTTGATATACAAAGTCTGTCTGGAAAAAGTCCAGCCATTGTTAATGTAATGAGAATAGTTTGCACAACATCCATGTAACCTGGCAGCCAAGGAGAGTGGGCTGAAATGGGCATACATGAACAATGAAGACTTCACTGTACTAGTCAGTGGGGGCAGTAGACGTTGAGTGAACATGTGTACTGTGTGGCCATTGCATTCAAAATCAGCAAGTAGAGCAACAAATCTGCATAAAATTTTGTGTTAAACTTGAACATTCCTCTACAGAAACTATTTGGATGACTCAGAAGGGCACAGCTATGGGTCCCTGGTAACTGGCAGCCTCGTCACAACAATGTGCCTGCTCATGTGTCACTTCTTGTGCAGTATCTTTTTTTTTTTTTTTTTTTTTTGCAAAACATCAAATCATCCAGGTAACTGAGCCCCCCTACAGTCCAGATGTGGCGCCCTGTGACTTCTGGCTTTTCCCAAAATGAAAATCACCTCTGAAAAGGGACGAGACTTCAGACCACTGATGAGACTCAGGAAAACATGATGGGGCAGCTGATGACGACTGGGAGAACCAACTGTGTGAGGTCCCAAGGTGCCTACTTTGAAGGGGACTGAGGTGTCATTGTCCTAGGTACAATGACTGTTATATATTGTATTTCTTCAAAAAATGTCTCTATTTTCCATTATTACTTGGCTGAATACATTCTGGACAGACCTTGTAAATGGGCCACTTTCAGTTAAGGTTCCCAATACTCTCAATATTTCTATTTACAACTGAGGACAAATCTAGAGCAGAACATCTAGAATTGATGAAAGTACAGGTCGCAGCCCTGATCTGATAATGTTGCTATTCCCTAAAATCACCTGGACACTTGTTAAAATTACCCCAGTATTCAGTAGGCAGTACGCCCCATACTTTAGACTGAGGCAGAACCTCTGAGATAGAGGGCAAGGAATCGGAACCTTTACCGAGTACTATAGGACAGTTTTAGGATCAGGGAAACTGAAAACAAAACCTAACAAAACACTGTGGCCGAGTAGAACATGAAACCCACATTTCAAAAATCTAACAGCAGAGAAGTCAAAATACTCTCTCAAAAAGACAACCTCCTGCCACCTCGCCTTTCCTCTCCCTCTCTCTTCCAGAACCCAGTCTCACTTCTCTTTAAACCACCAACAAACTCCCTCTGCCCTCTTCCCTACCACGTGAAACCTCTTGTCAGGCGCTCAGTCACACAGAGGTATCAAAGAGAATCACTCGCAGTCTCAGTCCTGTTTCCTTTTGCCTGGGGGAGATCTGCCTTTTAAAAGCCCATCTGTGGCAGCCCGGGGCCGGGCCGGAGCTGCAGCCTGCTCCAGTCCGACCTCTCACCACGTTAGCAGCAGCCTAGCCTCCCTGCTGCGTGTGGTTATCAACCCAGTACCTAAGCTTTCAGTTCAGAAAGCCTGCCACTGCCCAGCTGCTTTTCCTGCTGTGCAACCTCAACTGTGGCAGCAGGGCCACAGGTGCATGTACACTCCTGGAGTCCCGTTTCACTTCCTCACCCAACTTGCTCACTCTGCGAGGAACTCTCCAGGCCAAATGCCTGGGTGTGTCCCACCCAAGGAGCAGGCACTGAGGTTTTTCACTGAGGTGGGCCAAGGAGGTTCAGTGGCTGAGAAGCAAATGCATGTGGTGTCCCACAATGATGGTTTCACAGGGGCTGGGGAGGTTAATTCAAACATTAATATAGTTCTTTTCTTTTTGGTCAATGTGCTCTAGACTTTACAGCAGTTGTATGCTACTATACAATACTCAGACAGGGATTTCACATTTCATGAGGATACATGAGAGCTTTTATAAAATACTTTAGGTTCTTTGAACAAAAGGCATTACCTGAGTAATAGAGTACTGCTGTAAGAGAGCACTTACTTCTATTACTGGAAATAACTTGGATTTAGGGTAATTTTCAAGTCCAATTGACAAATCTTTCCATATTCCAATTCCACAGCTTATGTTTTTCCTCTGTAAGGCATTACCTAAACTTGGCAGGCCCAACTACAATCCATGAAGAATAATGCAATAATGTCAGCTTGGGCACATTATTAGACCAAAGCAGCCTATTTAAAATGCCTCATTCTTTACAGCGGCTGCCTCCAAGGAGGCGACTGGGATGGACAGCAGTTAGGGAGAGCTAGACTCGTCACTGTACACTGTAAAGCTTTGTGTATCCTTTTCATTTCATGTTCATATATTTGCTTACTCAAAGAGATTTGGTTTTTTTTAATTATTTATGCTATTAGTTCTGCTTTTTTTCCAAAAAGATTTGTTTTTAATTTAATGATTATGTGCTAAGCATATTTTACCACAATAAAAAAAAATGCCCCAATTTTTCAAAATTATGAAAAAGCCAAAATAATAGGAAGAGAACTGGGCTCATTCAGAAAGTCTGGATTTCATTCCTGGCTCTGCCTATCAGTGCAACCCTTGACAAATTAATCAATCTTTCTGTGCCTTATTTTCTGTCCTGTAAAATAAGAAAGTTGCTATACATTGTTGTTAAAATCTATTCTGCTCCAGAAGTTTGGAATTTTATAAAGTAAAGGAGTATTCTTTATCTTCTCTTAACAGTAAGTCTGAGTAATCTGGGATTCCATATTTTAAAAAATTACCTAATAGAAAAACAGGAACCTTAAATTTCAGAATCTTTTTAAGGTTCACAGATGACCGAGTTTATAATCAGGTTTTGGGCTAATTAAAGTAAGCTGGAAGGACTTTTGCTTAGTATTTTCTTATAAACAATGAAGGATTTAGTTAACTAACAAGAGAGTTCACTATGTTCCTCCGGCTTGTATTTTAAGGAAGTTAGAAACACATAAATTTTCACAATTAGTAAAACAACTCATTCTTGTTTATCCAAAGTGGACTGCTTGTACATTAATGTTGCTCAAAAATCTTGGATTTTATTTCATAAACTTACAATTTTGAAGAAACTCTCAGTTTTGCTTAGTGCAATGTTTAGCAAAATTCTGCCCATGTGCACCCACTGTAAAACTATCCTTCCTTTAGAAAAGGATTACAAAAATTTTTTCCTTGTAAGGAAAATCCTGGCAGGATTCAGGTCATGGAAATATCATCTCTAGTAAGAAGAATTTATTCCTTTAGCAGATAGTTATTGAAATAAGCTATAGTATCTCTGGTTCTATCGATGCCACAAAATACTAGACAAGGAAGGAATACATTAACCCACCTACTCAACTGATTGTTCTTAAACTTCAGAACTGCAGAAAGAGGAAGCTGTTAAGTAAATTACTCTGAAAGGCATAGTAAGTACATCAAACTCTGGTTTTAAAGACATTTAATTCCGTTTCAGCAGACTAGTAAATTGGCATCGGTAGAACAACAGATAAAAATGACAGTATCATGAAAAAAAAAACCCAGTGGTGCTGATCATTAGCATTAGAATTCTTCCAGGAAGTGTCAGAAACAAAACTATAGTCTCTAGAATAAAGATTTAAAGGAGGAAATTCTCAAACCTTGGGAGGAGCTTTTAACATTTATTTTTTAAACAAAAGTTTAATTTTTTTGAAATATATGAAATTATGTGCACATCTCTTTACAAATAAAAGGCACATTGTTATTTTAGAAACAAAATTTACTTCACATAGCAATTTTGTCATGCATTCCATGAGACATTTAGACTGAAAACCTAGGCAAAAGGGAAATTTTAGTACAGGGGAAGGGCAGTCGTTCTTAAAAAAAGCGTTTTTTTCCTTCTCATTTTTCTGCTCTTCTCTACTATTTAATCAAAGCAATATGATAAGCATATGAATTTGAAGATAAATAAAGGCACGAGTTTGAATCCTAGTTCTACTTACTGTGTGTTCCTACACAAGGTATGCCCTCTCTGTTCTACATTTGTGCAGAGGGTATAATACCACTTACTTTGCAGAACTATTGTAAGGATTAATAACCATAATAGCTTATATTTACCTAGTAGTAACTACAGGGTGGGGCAAAAGTAGGTTTACAGTTGTTCATATGAAAAATACAATAATCAATAATAATAATACAAGAATAAGCTGTTTCACATACTCACAACTGTAAATCCACTTTTGCCCACCCTGTATGTGCAAGTTAACATGCTCAGTACTAAACATACAATGTTTCTTTAATCTTCTCTACAACCAAACTAAGCCTTCTACACATAAATATACACAAATGGAAATCAACATTTATCTCCTTTTGTTTTACAGAAGATTTATTTTATTATTCTTTTTTTACAGAGTAAACTATAACTCAGAGATAAATAACTTGTCCAAGGTCACACAGCTAGAACCTGAACATGAAATCCAGAACTCTGATTCTAAATTCCTAACTCTTTCCATTAAGCCCAGCGCTAACATGTAAAGAACAAAAGTTGAGACAGTCAATGCTTAATATACAAAATACTGGATACGACACAAACTTGGGTCAAATACAAAAAAATGTCTTTTATTCACATATAGTTCTCTTTTATCAGTACTCTTTATTGTATCCCAGGTTTAGACTGCTTTCAAATGAGCTAAGCTCAGGACTGAATCACACACCATTTTACTGCTTCTCATTATCTAACGCCAGCGCAGCCCCATCACTCCTGGAGGCATTAGTCATATAGAATGAGTGGGGCAGCCCTCACTGCCCTTTCG